ACAAAATATGTCAAAAGAAGTTATCAACTCCTATTGAGGCACGTGTACACTGAATAGCTTCCCAAGCCACTGCTCATTGTCTTTTTTTTTTCTAACAGTATTTTTAAGGTTCTTATTCTGACTCTTTGTACTGTTTATTGGTGAAGGTTTTATGCAAGTCTCATCCTGTTGAGTTTGCTTCGTATTTCCATTACTGTCATTCGTTGACATTTGATCAGCGGCCTGATTATGGATTTTTAAAGCGCCTATTCCGTGAGCTGTTTACCCGTCAAGGTATGTGTAAGTTAAGCTACATCAAGTCCTTGGACAATACCATCGTTCTCTGTTAATATATCCAACTGAGCTGATTACATAAAAATCCGTTGGCAGAAGTTCAACTGACGTGCTTCTATGTGTCATGCAGGATATGAATTTGATTACATATTTGATTGGACCATCCTGAAGTACCAACAGGCACAAACAAGTAAACCACAGCACCGGGTATCATTCTTAGCTTGTCATATTTCCTGAATTCATTTTGACTATGATTAGTCACTTCTCAATTTGATGACCCACAATACTTTGAGCCTTGTTACTTTCCGTTTCAATGGCCTGAATAATACAGTTTTTAGTCAAGGATAGCTGCATGAGCTTGGTTTTGTATAAGTTTTGATTTGAACTAGCGCTGTTATTTTTGCAGCAAGTTGTCGGTGAGAGCAGCCGGGCAATTCCAATGGATGTTGAAAAGCGTCAAGGTTAGTAACTGAGTCTCTTACCTTTTCGTGATTGTTGCTTGCATTCTCTGGATTCTACCAGCAAAAATTGCTTTCCGTGTTCTGGGTTGAGTGGTTATAATCAAGCATTAAAGTGTAAAGGACTGGCAGATAAATTAAAGATAGAAGTATGCTAGTGGAAACATACTTGCATTTTTTGGATGTCAAGTCACTTTCTGTTGCTGTAATAAGATTAATTTGCTGAGCTGTTCCTTCTACAGTTTCTACAGGCAACAATGGACCTTATGTTGCTGAGGTGACTGATCGCATTAGACCGAACAATCCTTCCAGTCCTGGAATCCGTATGCAATTTAAATCACCAACTAACAGGAATTTAACTTCTGCCAATCTTGAGAGAAATGTAAGTAATACTTTTTCATAGCCTTGTTTCAGACTTTCAGATAAAGTTTTCTTCGCTTTTAGCATTGTCTGTTTACCATGTCTTATCATTATTCTTCTTTCTATTTTCTCAGCCCAAGTAGGCTTTTCATTAACTTCCCTTTCATCTTGTAGGTACTAAGTAGTGCACACATGCCATCTACTTCATTAGCTCCTGTTTTACCAAGAGCAAAAGCCACAAAACCTGCAGTACCTGCTGAAACAACTCATGATGGTGATAATGGCAGCAGCTGGATTTCCTCCTTGCGACGTATTTCTTCTGCAAAGTGATAAAAAGGTACTCTTCTTGCTCTACTCTATTTTCCTGTGTCTTTGCTTTGGGGACGTGTGGCATATTCCTGGACATCGCAATTGTGATTGTGAACAAGAAGCATTTCAATTCATGATAACAAGATCCTTTCTTTCCTTTTCAGGATTAAGATGAAGGTGACAATTGGGCAGCTCATCCTTATTCTGTGATTACAAGCTTGTATGGATGATTCGGGTGGCTGATCAGGGCCCTGATTTTCGCAATTTCACAAGCTGAAGAGGGTGTGGACTGAGCTGGACATGAGAGCAGATGGCAGCAGCTGTTTGTCTTTCTTTGGGAGCTCGGGTTAGATATTTTTCCTAAGATGACTATAAACGAATTGGTCCATCCTTGCATTAAGATCAGGGTGGCTCCTGTCCGCTGAAAAATGAAGCACTAGCGACACCTTATGTCTCTTTTTCCATGTAAAATAGATCATATGTGATTTGTCAAAAATTGTGCAGTTCCGTTTGTGCATACATTGGTGGTTATTTTCTTCACTTGATTCATCACTCGCAAAGTTGCATGTGTTGTAATCTTTATCGCTTAATTTTGTGGTGAGCTAATGAATTGTTACAAACATGTTGATAATGGGATTGTATCTCAGAAATTTTGAGAAGTGTGGAAATGTGATATATCAAAGGCAGCACTTCCTGTGTTCTCATCAGGAGTGTGAAGTTGTGATGTAAAATTTGATTTATGGACTTCTCTTTCCCCACCACCCATCCCACTCTTATGTTTAAGTCTTATTGTTCTTTTGAACCCTGTAGCCATCTGGTCAAAATAGGTGAGCTTGTCACCAGGTAATGTTATATTGCTAGTTTTGATTTGGTAATTTCCTGCGTGTTGATAGAGTCAGTGGTTTTTTAACATCTTTATGTTCTATAATGCTCTAAGTTTTGGTTAAAGATGATTCCTCTATTGACAATAGGCAATTTTGACCTCCCAAATATCTTAGTGCATAGACTTACACCTGGACTGTGACTAGCCTTCAAAATATTCGGTTTACGATAAGTCTGACCAAAGAATATTGTTCGTGGGCTATTTTGATCAAGTTATTTGCAATCGGCTTCTCACTTATGAGTCATATACTTTTGCAATGTGCAGGATTTCCATTTGAAGACGATATGCTATGAGATGTGGTTTCAGTCGGAGTCATGGCTTCCTTGGATTTGATCAAGTTCAGAAGAGCAGGAAGTAGTGATTGCATTAATTCGTTGATTGTGCGATGGATCGAGTATGTAAAGGTCAAGTATCCACTGGCACCATATCATTAAACAAGTCGAATGGTTGCTTCGGCTGGCTGACAACTCTGGGTACCTTGCTGCCCGAGCTTTTATTCCTTCTTTCGAGTGTCTTGTGAAAGCTAGACTTGCTAGGCTCGAGAGGAAGTTACATTGACAAACTGTATGCCTTCTCAAGTGCGATCGGGTAATATCTGCTATAACCAAGAAGCTTATTAAAGCTGCAGAAGGGGAAAAACTAGGGTCCTCTTAATTGGCTTGAACTGAATCTCAGGTCTTCTTGACTTGTCACTTGTCAGGACCTGTACTGGGATTTGTGCTGATTTCATTCTCAGCAAGGTTTTCCCCTGCTGTGCTGCTGGAGGAATAATTGCTTACACATTTAAGTCCTAAGTCCTAGGATATATAGAAATCAATAAGTGGCTATGAGCGGTGAAATCCTCGTCTCGTGCCCACCCATTTCTACAGTTCACCATTTATGCCTGTGTTTGCACCCTTGGTGCCGACATGGTTTGTGCAGTGGTTTAATAGGCAACTATGTTATATCGTCGTGCTCCTGACCAGAGACACTGGATTCTCTTTCAAGCAGCGTCTTTCCTGCTTCCAATTCATGGACGCCTGCCTGTCTATTCTATTAAATTCGATATTTCAACTGGATCTTGGAATTCTGACATCACTCGTGCTATCCAAAGAGAGCAACTTCTGTTTTCTAAATTTGGAAACCTAATATGTCATTGTCTGTGATTGCTGTTAACTTTGAACAATGAGATCTGGGGAAAGCTAATGTTCTACGCTCCGACACAGTAACTGATCACGCCACTAACGGTAATGCAGGGTGAAATCTTGTCTTATCTCATGAAAACGGTGTTGCTTTTTACAATGGGCGTTGTTTACTGGGGAGGTTAATTAATTTTTTTTTTTTAAAAACAATAGAACGTCAGTAGAAGGGCGATTCTATTTCTTGCATAAAAAATGGAATAAAAATGTTTCTGGATTTTCTGTAAGAAGATATATAGCCTGTTTGGTCAAGCTTCTAAAAATTACTTTTAAAGAAAATGCTTTTGGTGAGAAGCAGTTTGTGTTTGAGTAATTAATTTGAAAAACACTTTTGATTAGTAATTAGTGTTTGGTTAAACTTTTGACAACTGTTAGGTGTATTTTTTTCAAAAGTGTTTCTCAGAAAAGTGCTTTTTGCTTCTCAAAAATTGCTTCTGCTTTTCCTCAAAAGCACTTTTTTTCCTTCCGACAGCTTGGCAAAACATCTCAATTTTTGGCCAAAAGAGTTATTGGCAAAAAAAAAAAAAAAAAACTTTTGGCGCAAAAAAAAACTTGGGCAAACAGTGTAACTTTTGGCGCAAAATCCTGGGAGATCCTCGTTGTTGGTACTGATGTGGAGCTGTTTTACTCTGTGTCACCTTATTCTCTGCGTGTTAGTTGTTTTGTATAACCTGTTTTCCTTCATAGTTGTATTCATTATTTCTGTTTAATTCATACTGTTGCAAGGCTTATTATTATATTTTATCTCAGCAGGGCCCTGACCTTCCTCGTCATTACCCGACCGAGGTTAGGTTTGGCACTTACTGAGTACCGCGGTGGTGTACTCATGCCCCTTCTGCGCATGTTTTTCATGTGCAGATCCAGGTACCTCCACTCAGGCGCACTATCCTTGAGGCAGGGAGAGCTACGGAGACTTCGAGTTACATCTACAGCGTCCACAGACCGAAGAGTCTCCTTCTTTACGGAACACATGCCGGTTTATTAAGTCTCGCTGATCGGTAAAACAAACTTTTGGCGCAAAAAAAACTTAGCCAAACAGGCTAATAATTATGTTGTAACTTTTGGTTGAAAATTTATAAAATTTGTGGAAGGATTTGAAATAAAATTTTCACCTGTTTCTTTTAAAACAGACGCATGTATTCTCCTCTTCAGTCTTCTCCAGTTTCTTTCTTTACCGGACTACTATATTATTCTGCTATGGTTGGCGGGGCTCTTGGGTGGTTGTGAAGCAGTAATTCTCCCCGCTTGAATACTGAGTCTACTACTCTCCAGTGATTGCGAGATATTTTTCATACGTTTTTTTTTGGAAATATTTTTTAGATGTTCTAATATGTGTAAGCAGGAGATTCATTTATAAAATTACCACAGTATACTTTATACTTGGATGTTATTCTTAAACATCACAGTAAAAAACTTCCTCTGTTTAGTTCCTATACAATCGTTCACTAACTCCACATAAGCAGGTGATAACTTTAACAATATGAAGAGAAGATAAATTGTCATATTAGAACTATAATGATATACATTCAACATGTGAAATTACCTTGTAACAGATCATGTTTTAACTCGACTTTGAATCAATCATCTTCTGTTTTACTGATCTGTATTTTACCAATATCTTCTTTTAATCACTTAGGCGTAAATTGCGATCAAGGAAATTGATATAGACTAATTAAAAAGAATTGAAAAGAGATAATTAAATCAACGACATTCTAGTGTGAATTTAAGAGATAGTTCAGCAAGTATAAGTACAACACTCTCATGTAGTTCTTCCTATATTTGCTTTTACATTTTACCCTTTTCCTCTACAAAAATATGTTACTATTTCGAATGTAGAGGGCTAAATAAACAACAGCGTGAAATGTTACACTATCTAACAAATAAACAATTTCAAGGGAGGGGGCTAAAGTTTGAAACAGTAGAAGAGCACACAAATAACTAGTATAAGAAAGACGCCACGTCACTTACTTTAAGATTAGAATTATATAGATATATAGAATACTAAACGTCAATGATAACTCAGAAAAAATTAAGATCTTAAGTTATAAGTATTATTTTTTTTAAATATTATTATTGCAATTTAACTTATTATAATATGTTACTTAATCACGCTGTTCATATTGATCGTCTATTATGCCCCTCTGCATCTAGCATTGGGTAGACCTCATACAATAACTGTCATAGCTCTACTATATCTTTTGTTTTATTTCCTCTGGAATATGGATCTACTATCGGAAATTTTAGTTATCATTTATTTTAAGTTATCAATCAATGCCATGAGTATTAAACAAAATTATCTATAATTACTTTTTAAGTGACTCAATAATATGAATATTTTTTACACTACCGATGTATAGAACATAAACTCGATTAATCGATGTAATCTCGGTTGGTATTTCATTGCGTAGGCATTTTTATAATTTTTATTTTTTTTTTAAAAAATATCTTGCGGCCGGATTGTTCACAGAGAAGGGAAAGAAAAAAATGAGGTGGCAATAGTTAGTTGTGTTAGTTAAAACAAGTATATATATATATATATATATATAAAGCCATCAAGAATTATAGCGTATATAGAAACCGTCTAAACAGCCATTGTATAGGAGAAAAGCTCATATTCTCCTAACTTGACTGCTCCTTCTACAAAAAAAAAATACACATTCCATTATTTCTGCTCTCAAAGAATTCCTCAGAAAGAACAAATTTCACAGTTCTAAAGGGTCTAATCATGGTGAAAAAGCCAGAGAAGAAAGAAAAGATGGTGAAAAATACAAAAAAAGATATTGCTGCTGCTTTAATTATTGCAGGGTTTAAGCGCACTGAAAAAAGAAGAGAAGAAGAGGCCAAGAAAAGAAGAAATCTTGGTACCAAACCAGAATTTGGGTACAGTATTGATGGAACAAAGTTACCAAGATTTCCACCTATTCAGAATTTAAAACAAATTATTGGAAAATGCAGTTACCTTTTGAGAAAAAACTGACAAAAACTGATTTAGACTATGATCAAGATAAGTTTTCATTGAAACTAGATGATGTGAAAATTAAAGGGCAATTTTGCCTTTGTTAAATGAGCATGAAATTGAAAATCTTGGTACTGGGATTTCAGTGAAGACTTTTGATCAGTTGGGAAATTGTTATGAAATGATTTTCGAGAGTTATCGTAATAGTATTTACAAGCTTTACAATGGGTGGAAAAAGCTGTTGAAATACCATAAATTGAAGGAAAATGGAGATTATTATGCTGCTGTTTGGATGTTTCGACATAAAGAAAATGATGGACTTTGTTTTGCTCTGATGTAAAAGAGGCATGCAAATAATACACAAGAATAGAAGTAAGAAGTGAGTTTAAAAGTAGTAGTATTTTTTATTTTTTATTTTTTATTTTATTTTGAAGTAAAAATATAGTCTATAGTATTGGGTTGATAAGTGATTTAGAGTCTTAAATTTGTGCATTTCTGTAGATTTTTTGGATTAATTTTGATTTGTCATTAGCATTTTATTTCAAGGGGTGAAAGTCTTGTTAATGTAGTAGTAGTAGTTTTACATGAATCAGCTTCTCATATTTGTGATAATATTCGCATCATTTCGTAGTGTTTTAACTGTGATTTTTTAAGCATTTCTTGAAATGTTTTAATTTTTTACAAAGTTCTTTTAAAGATTGATTGTTTTCTAGTATCTGAATTGTAGTTTTATTAGTATAAGAATTGATGTTCGAATTTGCATTATTAATAGTTATAGATATTTAGATGTGTGTACTTTTGCACTATGAATGGGCAAATTGTTGTTCTTTCTTTTGGGGGACAAGAGTTTATATTCCATTTTTGGGTTAGAAAGAAGAAAATTAAATTGGATACTTTTTTTTTGGTATAAACCTTAGGTCTTTTTGGAGTATCAATAACACAAAGTTTTACTAATACTAGAAAAGATCTAATTTCTTCCCCTCTATTTATAAATATGTTCACAACTTAAAGGTATATTTTCATGGTAGTCACCTCATTTTGGCTAAAGGTCAGGAAGTGATTTGTAAGACCTACTGACACTAAAGTAAGATTAAATAAACTTTGCTTTTCCTTAATATTATGCTTTTCCAGAGTCAAATTCTTAAAATTTCAACAAACTTTTAAAATTCTTCATGTTGTTCTAAGGCCCTCTTAGTCCATAAAAAGTTTTTCATTTTTTTCAATTTTTTTTTAAATGTGTTTTCCATGAAATTTTGTAATTTTTTGAATTTTTTTTGAAAATGGGTTTTTCAATAAAAAAAATTTTCCCGCTCACAAAACTGCAAGATTTTTCATGTAAAATACATGTTCAGACATTATTTCAAATTCCAAAGATCATTCTTTTTTAAAATGATTAAAAACTAAGAGAGTATTAAGGAAGCTATATTTGGATTCTCGCCCTCCACAACGAAGCTATTGTTCAATTTGTGTATTTAATGAAGTAGGCCAATCTACCATATAAATAAGAAAATTGACACTATATAGGCTCTCTCAAAATAATAGCAGAAAAAAGCCCGTATAAATAGCTAGGACTAGGACCCCTTTTTCAGTTGAAATTAGTCCCTTTTTCAGAAATTCATTCTTGTAGCAATATTAGAAATATAATGTTTTGCGCATACCAGAATACCGAAGGGAATCCTTAGAAGAACGGTAAAATTGTCTCCTACTTATAGGTCACGGATTCGAACTCTAAAATCAGCCACTGGCGCAAGCATCGGGATAGGATGTCTATATCACACTCATTTGGATGCAACCCTTTCCCCTTCACGTAACCTATAAGTCACGGGTTAAAATCATGAAATTAGCCAATTACGCTTGTGTCAGGGTAGCGAATGTACAATATACATATTTTATACAAAATCAGTATTATTTTTTTGGTATATTTACCTAGCAAATGAATTTATTTTTGGCCAACAGAACAAATGGTGTAACTTAGCCCAAAAATATTCCACATCGAAGAAGAAAAAATAAAAAGCGCATACAACTATTTGGGTTTCTTCTACCCAACCCCTTACCCATGCCAAAATGTAGACTTCCTAAATTTGAGTCACATTGTCAGTTATATGTAAGAAAAATATTGAACAAAATATAAAATTTGCTTTTCAGTTGAAACTAATTGTATTTGCTAGCTAAAAATGTATAAAATATATACATTTTGTTTGGTAACTATAAACAATTTTATTAATTACCAACGCAAGAAATACAAAACCCAGCTAGACTTACTCAATCCCGCTGATCTATATGTTCTTCTGTCATGCTGACCTGTGGCCCACGCCTCCTATTTGTCCAAGGTTAGCAGTGTGAACTCTGATTCGATTCAGACATTCAATCCCGCTGGTGAGATGCTCAGTTGACTCCTTAACCTTGATAGGAAGATGGCTTATTTAGTAATTCGTGCACACGGAGATGAACTAATGCGAATGGGTGTACGCCTCGTTGCTCGGAAACACCCAGTGCTACCACAATGAGAGATGCGAAAGGTACATGTTTCTAACCGACGCCTGAGGCAGGATTTCCGCTAAAGGGATTCAAAAAATGAAAAAGTTAAAAAAGATTTTAGCTAGTAGGAATTGAAATAATGACCTTACAAAAGTTTTGAACCCCTTGACCACTAAGCTATGCTTTTGGGCTTGTCAAGAGGATTCAAAATATAATATATAGAGGTAAAAAATAGATTTTGCCTGATATATATAGTGTAATTTTTCGGCGGAGGGGGCGAAGGAGGTTCGAGTGAACCCCCTTCCGCCCCTGCTCATTACCCCAAGCCCCATAAAATATGTACATTATAAGTATAGAATCTATATCTATCTATCTATATTATTATAAAAGCATGAATACAATATTGGTTGACCAAAATAGCCCTAAATACTTATTTAGCTAAGAAATATGATGTTGGATATAATTCTAATATTATATATAATTCCTTATCTAAAGAGGACATAATTATAGTAATTCGTTTTTGAACAACTCACCGTTAAATATGCATGGTTTAGAATATAGATTATTTTTTGTTTGGACAACAATGATTACATTCCTAATGATATTTGGATAACTCGCTACTTACGCTATTGTAGCCTTCACACATTGTCCGCTAATATAACCAATACATGTATTTGCCATAGGGTTTTAGCACATAGAACACTAATTATTTGAATAACTCGATCTT